AGGAATATTTTTTAACTTGCTTAGATCATAGAGAAAACCAAAATTTTCAAAATGTTGATTTAAAGACATAAATCCCGAATCCATATTGCTTATTATAGAATCAATCGTGGTGTTAAAAAAAATCTGTTTCATACCTGCTTTTGGGAGACTGTATAGGTTGATCGCTGCCTTCATCATCGAACATCCTTTTCTTTTTGGCTACCCTTTCGTTTTTAAAGTTTTTTGGCAGTTCATAATTGCTATTCTCAATAAGTTGACGAGCGTCAAGCATTTTTCGAATCCAGTTTGTCGATATTCTTTGATCCAGTCACAAAATGTACAGAAATGTTCAAGAGCATTGCTTAAATGGACTTGTAAAGATTGCCATAATTTCCTTATGATATTAACACGCGATAATATCTCATACCATACATATAATGATATGATAAATTCTAAACTGAGCATTTCGTTTAAAACCGAATCACAATCACTGAGTGTGTCTGATTGTTCCGTTTGATTTTTTAAGCTTTCGATGCATTCAACATCAAATTGCAACAATACGGCCTTCACTGCCTCGATTCTGCTTTCTCACCTTGTGTCAGATAAAGGCTTTATAGTAAGCTTTAATTTGCCTTTGATTAATTCCCGGCGTGTGCTGGAACTTGAAAATAGCAAATAAATTTTCTGAATAAAACCAAAAAATGGTTTTGCTGCCACAGAAGAATTAGCTGCGTCTATCAACAGCAGATTCTAGCTATGACAACCGAAAAGTGTGAAAAATGCCCTGGGATTAATATTTAATATTCGAGTTCTAACTCCACTATTTACGGGATACTTTACTGCGATACTTTGATTGGCTTTCTAGCCGTTGAGAATCGTGAAAGTAACGTAAACAAACACAATGGGAAATCCCCAGCTCTGGCTGGCGAGGATTCCCCGCGATAGCAACCAAACGCCAGCAAATGTTGCTAGGAAAATAAAAACAAATTTGGTATGTCAATATATTTATCGTTTTATGACGAGTAAAATTTTTTCGTTGAGTTTATGGCTTTTATGTAATGCATAAACCTTCGAAGCGCGAGGCCGTAGGCGATGGCCCATATCGCCCATGCCTTATGCCGCCTCTGTCTGTGGTTTCTTGGAAGTAGGTCGTCCGTTGACCGGATGGTCTCGGCACGAGAGTTCAAAGTTCACTGGGATGAGAGTGTCCGTTGAAGTTTCTTTGTTCTGGAAAGTTTTTCGTTGGGTGAAGTGACGATGAGACTTGACGAATTTGTAGATATAACGATCTGGACGTTGGTGAAATCCCAGGTAAGTTGATGAGGTCTTCCTTATTTCTCTTGGTTGAAGTTGTACTGTTCTTAGTTAGAAATAATAGTTAAGAGTTACTAATTACTGGTTTAGAAAAATCTTATCACTAAGTTCGAACTAGAGGTATATTACGTTACAAATATGTTGAATGACTCTCTCTCTCTCGGCGGTTTATTTATTTTTTCTCTCGAATAAGGAAATAGAAAAATTCTTTCCCTACCTGTAGACTACTACACTACTATTCGAATATATTGATGCGAAATTAGATATACATGGATATAATTGAGATATAAACATAATGCTTGAATATATGTAAGCTTGAATATGCAAATAAGTATAATGGTTGAATATCGAGTGCCCTAATAGCTTTGAACAATAAGTTTGTGTGCTATTTGGGTAGAGTCGCCTCGGGGAGCGCTTGGTTGGGTGTCGGGTTGCTGTTGATTTTCTCTTTCACTGAGGGAGATTTCTTCCGGGTTGTCGTCTGCTGGGTGTGGTCGCGTCGGGGAACGAAAGTTCCTGAGAAGTAGGTAGCATCGGAAGATATAAAAAAGACAAAATCCAATACCAGTCGTACCAAGGCAACTTGCAATTATCGTCATTATCGTAGATGGGTAGGATGAGGGAGCTGATTTAGTTATCATCCGTAATAGGTAATTGAGGCCATAGGTAATGTCTGATAGGGATCGGTCATGTGGGTTCCCAGACGAGGTTCGAACTCGAGTAAACCGTGAAATTCTTGAGCGACACAAAATGTAAACAACCGAGACTCGGAACGGTTCGAGTATGTGTCAAACTATCTGTCAAGGTCTTAGCGGAAGACAAACTCGAGCGCTCATAAACAGGTGGATCTTTGACTCGCGTGTCTATAAAATGTTGGTCGAGATAAACCTTTTCGAACAAAAAAACGGAATTTTTGATAGATGAAAGATGAAAATGATCGTTAAATTCTTAGACGTCAAAAAATGGTAAATAACGGCCTGAGTTATGAGTGCAGGTGTTATTATTTTATAAACAGTCACCAAGCAGAGTCGACAAAGAGGTATCAGATGGACACCTCGAATCGGACCTTTCCCGCGACCCGAAAAAGTTTCGTCTTGCACCTGGAGACAAAGGAGAGACCAATTGGGAAGTGAGGAATGGAACAAGGGACCAATCCGAAATGCGAAATGTGGGGGAAAAACTATAAAAATCGGAACTTCAAGGTCGAAAAAGAGTCTCCTCCGGATTAAGCCTACAGTGGTGATTTAGATTGTGTTGTGCATCCGCCGATCACCGAGGACGCCGCAACGTAACAACGAACTTCTGCTTCGTCCAGATATCCTTCTCGTCCGCCCGAACTGCGACCGATCACACGAACTTTCGCCGTTCCCAGGAGCACGAGATTTTGGAATTGTCCATTATCGATGTAAGCATGAATTCGAACGAATAAACGGTTTTTATCTTGTAAAACACTTGTACATCATTTGCCTCCTTCGCCACCGCCCACATACGTGGTTTCCCTTAGGCTCATTCTGAAGCGAGATAGATTTTATTCCCCCTCAACGTCGGCAAACCTTACAGTCAGCTAAAGTGATATCGTGATCCGAGTTCAATTTTAATTTTTCTTGAGTTTGTGATTCCATGACACGTTTCTGAAGCAGTTGAATTTATCAGTTGTTCGATTTGTGGAACTACAAGGTTTTCGCAATTTCCAGTTGTAAGGTGGATTGTCTTTGGAAATGTGAAGTGAGGATAATTCCTGGTAGGTATCCTGTACATGCATTTGGGAGATTGATTATCCCAGTATTATTCAATTTGTGAGTTGTAGATATATAAGGCGATTTCTGAGGTCTAGTAGGGCATCTAATAGTGATGGTGAGAGGTTTAGGGGTAAAATAAATCCAGGTTCCTTGTCGATCTATTTTCTTAAAAATAGGAGCATATCTTGCGACGATTTGTCGATTACGGAGGTCCTTGACTTGAGTTTCAATTTCATTAAATAAGGCATACTCACAACTTTCTTGCGGAAATCGTTGAATAGGAATATTTAATGAACAAATAGGAAAATGGTCTATCTTGCACATAGTTAATTCAAATCGTTGCAGCAACATATATGACTGTCTATCCATAGACAGGGCAATTATAGGATATTCGGTTTGAAATTGGAAAAAAGTTTTTAACGTAGGGATGTATGTTGGAAATTTGACAATTTCGTACATATCAAAATATCCACTGCGAGTAATCAAGGGAATCTTGGCAAAAATCCGTAGTTTACCAGGTAAAGCTACTACGATGGTAGTAATCCACTGGTAATATTTAAACAATGTATCTGGCTTGATAGGTTCGATCATTACGTAGCCTTCCGGAAGTTGGAGTTGAATGTCTCGTAGAGTTCGTAACATAATTTCCCGTGAGATAAAGTAGATACTTAACCGACCTTGTTCTAAAATATCAATCGCTTCTCGTAACTCTACTAGTTGAAAATGGAACTCCTGAATAGAAAATTCTATCATTCGAAGAATTATTTCAAAGGCGAGTTCATAGCGATATAAGTTCATTAATTCACGGAAGGACTCTTGTCGTTTGAAGAGCACATAAATTTGATGTCGATTGGTCTTGCTTATATTTAAAATATCATTTAATAAGGTGGTTTGTGAGCGCAATAAATGGATGATTCCTTCGTTTCTGTGATTGACTTTCGAAATCTTGTCGTTTAGTGTTTTAATATCCTCTGAGGTAGCAGTTCCGAAGAGGAATTTAAGGATTTTCCCTCCAGCATCTATTAAACCTGTCCGTTTTTTCTGAGAGGGCTGTAGAGTGATTAGAGTTTTAATTTCTTTGTATTTCTTGTGATAATTAAGGAATGAGGCTCTTACTAGCTCGAAATTTTTAGTCGGGAGATTCCATTGTGTCTGGGGATCTCCATTCTGCGGAGGGGTATGTTCTTTTTGGCGAATCATTGTTTCTACTTAAGTAAGATAATTTGAGATAAATTGAATCTGGCGCTCTAGGTGCTCGAAGATAAGATCGTTCACTAAGGTCCAATGGCTTGTGGTTATAAGGAAATTTTCTTGGTGCAGGAAAATAACTCGTTTGGTGAATTCCTCCTGTCTTGAATGAGGTGTTGACGTCTTGAGAAGACGTAGAAAAATAATACAAATTTGAAAATAAATTATGCTGTCGACGAGGTGATTGTATCCTTCAGATAGAGTAGTTCCGTGTTCAGGTGCTTTCCCACTGAAACAGGGAAATATCGTTATTAATGCCGAAGATTCTCCTGTTTGTTAAGAATTAATTTAAACAAGGAAATGGATTTAATTAAAACACCTCTCGTATATGACGTCTATTTTCGAAAGGAAATTAATGCCCTATTAATATGTTACAACTCAATTCTACACCAAGGTAAGGATGATCGACTAGAGGTGAGTGAAATAAATCGTGGAAAGCGACCACGGGTAGATCGAGGTATAACCCAAGGTTGATCTGGACTTGGTCTTTGACGTCGGAGTATATATGGAGGAGTAATGTCTTGTTCTCCTTCCGGTTCCGATTCTGGCTCAGTGTCATCGCTTTCAATTTCGCTTTCCGGTAGCGAAGGGAGTATGGAGGCTAAATTGAAGTCCTCCTCGGAAAATGTACTTGGTTGTGACCAAGGTCTACATAAGAAGGTCAGGACACGCTCCCGTGATTCTACGCGGCAGCGGACATTTTGGGACTCATCGATAGACTACACACCACGCGTAGGTCCTGCGTGAGTCGACTATTATTACTATAAGTACTCAAACCTTTAAACAATGGGTTATTTTGTGTCACCAAATTGTAAACGTAAATCTACAGACGTTCGATTGTTTACATTTCCTGAAAATAAGCAGAGGAAAGCAAAATGTAGCGTAGACATCAACGGATAGTTCATACTACAGTTCAAAGAATTTATGTGTAAAGTTTGCAAAAAATTTAGTTTATAAGTAATTTATACTTAATTCAGTTTAAATAAAAATTTACATTAATTTTATTGTTAGAATTTATATTTTAAAAGGCGTGATGTAAATCTAAATATACCCAATTCTTATAATCTAGAGATTCCATAATATTTAATTGATTTTATTTATATTTAAGTTTTTCGTTTGCATTTAAATAATTATTTGCCACTGATCATTCATATCTTTTATCCTGAACATTTAAAAACAGATTTTAATGGAATAACATAAATTGTTTTTCTGGAGAGGAAAAATGTAAAGATCAGGTGCGTTTAAAATGTTTGTGTTCGTACACCCATTTTCAGAATACTAGTAAAAATAATTTAGCTGAATTGTGCATTTGATACATTTTTTCTGGTATGGATTTAAAGTGGATTTAATATTTTTCTCATATTTAAATATATCAAATATAATGCAAAATACTTAATATTTTTACATTAGTTTTTAGTATTAAACTTTAAATTTTTATTATTAATGCAGAACACAAACAACATTAAATTGATATTTTTTGTTTTATTTAATTAAAGTAAAGTTGACTATTTAATTGTAAAAAAGAAAATTTTAGCATTATTTTGTTACAGCAACAAATATTCATATTTTGTTTGAATATATTGTATTCTATTCAAGTATTATTTGTCAGTTTAATGTCAAATAATTTAATTTAAAACTTTATTTTTGGAATCTTTTGAAAGCTATTTATAAATTAAAAATATATCTACACATCTATTACTTATTATAAAATGAGCATTACATTGACAACATTTATTAATAATACTATAGAATTTCATCTTAATTTTATGGTCAATCGTGCTTTAAAAAATTATTATAAATTTGTTATATTATTATATTCTTTATTACACTTTAATTTTTTTATGTTATTGCATCACTTTACAGAAGTGCCTATATACGTAATTGCATCAGTTTTATGCAAGTTTAGTTTAATTAATGTCGTATAAAACTGACTGCTCGTGCAAATTTGCTTAAAACATGCGACTCGAAAAACCCCAAAATGGCGGCTCAAGAAGTAGGTCACGCGTGTGACCTTCTTATATAGACCTTGGTTGTGACGTAGTCATTAATGAGTCTACTTCCGAGATTTCGATGGGTGAGTCAACGGTCATGTCCGTGTTCTCCCGCTATATTCTCGGTCGTTTACGGGTTCGATGGATTGCGGGTTTCCTTCCGTTTCCATTTCTCGGTCGATTTTCTCCGTTTTTGCTTTCATTTCGTTCAGAGAGAACGTCCGAATATTCCCGAAATTTCTTCCGTTTATCGAGGTCTTTCCGCCTCCTCTTTCTTTTGCGCGCTCGTTGGGGAGTACAAAAATGTATAACCTTTTTATTGGATAGGATCACTTGTGCGTTAGCAAAGTCGAATGTTAGTTGCGCCGTTTCTATAATATCTCGTCCCAAGATTCCATCGCACGGGGTGGTAATCTCATCTCGAACGATAACACATTGCATGCGAAGTTTCCTTCCCCGTAATTTAAACGTAGGCATCGCTGTTCCTATAGCGGTAGTTGGCTTTCCTAAGATGGGTCCCAATTTTCGTCTAAGGTCAAATTTTATATACGCTTTTCCCTTCAATCTGTTTGCGAGGTCCTTAGATATGAGTGTACTATCCACTTTAGGGTCAATTAGAATTTTAACCGGAATATTGTTGACATAAATTTGGATAATAGGGTTTTAGTTTTCGACGGTTCGGGTGTACCCTATTCTTCCTTTCCATTTTGTCTCATTTCGGGGTCGTCAACCTTCGACGCTTTGTACTTACATTGCCTGTCCAACGAGATTGTTGTGGTTCCGAAGGTTGTGAACGGAAGCGGACGCGATTTTGATCCGGGTTTGTGTCGTTTCGCCTTGGGGAATCGTTTCTTTGACGTGCGCCTCGATTGTTATTATAATTCTTTCGACGATCAGGAAAATTCTGGGACCTATTTATATCAGGTCGGTTATTCGGGGAATAAGATCGACGATTATCCTGATGATATTCGCTGCGCCGAACAGGTGGATTATTAGATGTTCCATTGCTATAGTTCCCTCGCTGATTTTGATTGGATGAGGGATCCCTATAATTGTTTCGAGAGGGGGCTCTGGTTAAACCATCCATTTGAGCCTTAAGCTTTTCCATTGCGAAGGTTAGTTTCTGAAATTCGTCTAACAAAGGGGAAGAATCAGTTGATCTCTCGCCGTCCCTAACTGTTCGCATGATCCCTCGAGGATGTGCGGTCATGTTCTCTATCATTTCTTCGCTAATAGCGGCTTTTAGTGCCTCGTCAAAAGTAGTAGGCTCCCGTGACATCGTTCGCTGCCGTATACGTAAATCAATTCCGTTCAAGAACTGCGCCTTCAATCGCTCATCTAATTCTTTTGTCTGGACCCTTTGTATAATAGCAGTTTCCTCGGCATTTGCATTCGGCTCTGGCGTAATTACTATCTCCATGGCCAGAGACTAAAGACGAGCGGCATACGCCTGCACATCTTCCTCCCGTTTCTGAACACAAGTATAAAACTTATTTAATCGGACCGGAAAAAGTTCTCGTTCAAAGCGCTCTATCATTAGGCGTTTGAATTCATCAAATTCATCTACAGCTTTAATCCGATGATCCTTCCGTTCAAATTCTCGGGCTATTCCCGTAAGTTTTAATTTCGCTACCGCTAACATCTGTGCCTTAGATCAGTGTTCCGCAAATGGTGTGCCGTCACAAGGTGTAAGGTGTGACGTGAACTTTTACATATTCTATTAATTTCAAGCTTTATTTATATATTTTTATCCCAATTGCTGTGCTTCTTATGCTTGTATTTTAAGTGTTACCTCATAAGTGCCACAGCACTTATGAAATAAGATAATGATCGTTTATTCTTTATTACAAGCCACTCATTTTTATGTATTTTAAGAAATTAAATGTAAAATAAATTAGCTCACTGGTGTTGATGTCTGTTTAATAATAATAATAATAGGCTAGTGGCATTAAGTAATCTATTAATAGTATCATATCATACGCTTTTGAGGGGAATAACATTTTGGTGTGCTATGTTGAGACATGTCGAGTCATGGGTGTGCCACGAATAGAAAAAGCTTGCGGAACACTGCCTTAGACCAGGCGGCTACTTTGGTAACGTCTACCAAACAATCAAAAAAATCTGTTACTCTTGTGCCTCCTGCCTCTCCAGAAAATACAGGTAACAAAGGTATTATACCGCCTAGACCTCTCAACGTAATAGGATTCGATGCCGGATTCGGATTTGGGTTGCCTGGCCTAGCCGCAGGTTGAGGTTGAGGATCCATTTTTCCCTATTACTACCAAATCTACCTCCTATTTCGAAATTTCCTACTCGAATGTGCCTTTTTTTCACCTTATCGATTTTTCGAGGAAGTCGAACCCTACTCCTGCAAAACCAATATGTGAACCGCCGGAGAGATTATAGGTCTCCCTTTCCGGCGACAGGTCGTTAAACCTGCTCACTTGTCAAGATGGCTAAAGTTTTTCTTATTGCTGGTCCTTAGGATCGGGAACGCTCAAATGTCAGGCGAGTGGAGGGAGAGTATTTGGGGTTGACGATAAGGTGAAGGACATAAACGAGTAAAGGAGTCTACCATTTTAACAAATAAATCAAGAATTTATTAAAATGAACAAATTTGACAAAATGATTACACTGATCTCGTTACTAGACCGCCTAACAGCTCGAGAGAGTTTACACACTTTTTCATACCTCTTTGTATGGCTCCTAGACGAGTAACTCCATGTAGGCACTTAATTGTTCAATAAAAGGTGGTTTTAATCCAAATGAGCGCAATTATAAAAAGTTCGCGACTTTGGTGATGATCGGATAACGATGTTCGTAGATCGGAATGTCGGCGGGTTCGAAGAATCGACGCGATGTCATCGGTCTGGCTTTCGTTAAGAGACTCCGTCGAGAGGGGGTAGGAACGGTGTTTTATAGCTTTTTGTGGGGAATTTCCATCACGTGATCGAATGGTCTATGAGCTAAAGGTTATAGGTGATCCAGGGATCTGAACAAGGGACGAATTTTGGATGCTAACTATAAACTTTTGTGTAAGTTGAGCTGCAAGTTATGCGAGGACAATAGATGTTGATGGTTATAACAAGAAGGTTTACACATTCCCGGCTAAGATCGTTTTTTCTTCTAATTCGTTACATAAACATAAGGAAAAAGATAATTAAGATTTTAGTTAATAAAATTCCGGATACCACAATGGCGTTGAAACTTTTTTTGTGAGCCTTCTAATTAAGTTTGATTGAAACAAGCGAAAATGTTCATTAAATATTTTAATTTTGTCTCGTCAATTATTTGAAATTTATTTACAAAATGTATATTTTGAACAACAAACAATGATTAGGAATATCTCTTAGGGATGAAAATTTTGCATTGACTTGTATTTTTTTCGCAAGAAGAGAAGAAATTTCAAAATTTTAAATGATTTATGAAAAATATATGAATATGTCATAAAATCTAATATTGTATTAAAGTTGAAATGCAATGAATGTTAAGTTCAGTTGTAACATGTGTCAGGTGTGTGGATGTCAGCAAGTGGTGATGGACAGTCCACAGCTTGGTCACACGTGTCAGGTGGGTGAAGTAACGGTATCCCCAAGAATGTGGGGGAGATTGTCCCGTCTAGAGAGGAAGAAATGGTGAGAGGGGGAAAATTTGTGCGCTTCCCTTTGGGTGTGTGTAGAGTTAGAGCAGGGCCGGATCATCGCATAGACCAGGGGTCGGCAACCTTTTGAGTCGGAAGAGCCAAAAATTACAATTTACAAAATTTCAAAGTTTTTAAAGAGCCACAAAATTTTTACATAACTTTGAGAAGATAATTCGCTTCTAACTCTTTTACTCGAAACAACAAACTATACGTCATAGCCAAAGCACTGGTGAAGACGCCAAATTGTCTTGCGTCGAAAGCGAATTAAACCTCATAGAAACATCCGACGACGGCGTCATTCGAAAGCTTCGGACAGACTGACGACAGTGACGACTTGTGTGACGGGGGAGAGGTGCGGTGAAAAGCGAGTACAAGTGGCTGAGAGATAGAATCGGTGCCTAATCCTCGTTAATCGATTTTTAAATGTTTTTGTTTTTGAAAAATAAATAATATTTGCTTATGGAACTAAAGAGCCGCAGCTTCACATCCAAAGAGCCGCATGTGGCTCGCGAGCCGCAGGTTGCCGACCCCTGGCATAGACAAATGAAACAAATGTCTAGGGCCCAGTCAAACTGTCTATTTTGAAAAGATTTGTAAATAAGATAGATTACTCTTCTGTTGGACAACTGTATAATACTGGTAAAATATTAAATTATTTAAATATTAACCAAAAAGGTTAAATTAAACAAGTAAAACGACAAAACCGTATTTGGGACACGACTATGTCTCGGAGACACTACTAAGCGGAATCACTTTGACGCTCAAAGCGAATCTCTTTCTCATTCTCCAATCTTCTTTGGTATCGCTGCTTTTGGGCGCGATCGTTCAAACTTCGCCAGCCACGACCACGAGGTCGTCCACCATGCATTTTCGATGAAATTAACCTATCCAATTTCGAAATTTCTCTCCGTTGCGTGTCGGCCCGGGTTGAATTTTTGTCGATGCCTAACGAAAATTTCTCGTCTTTGAAAAAAATAATCGTGGCTATTGTATCGTCCGAAATTTTTTTTTTTATTTTGCACAAACAATATACAGTTTAACCTGATTATAACGTCAAATTTTTACTGGTCCCACGATTTTACTATACTAGACAATGTTAAAAAACCTACTTGTAACGACATAAAACCCTGTTTTAATGTCATATTTGAAGCACTCCCAAATTTACAAAATTAGATTACAAATTTTATTTAAGAAAGAAAATACTACGTGTTCAGTCCTAGGGTCAGAGTCCATTTCCTTGAACGACTGTGGGTGGTACTCTCACCACCTGACTTCGGTTTGCCTGTTTGTAGAGAGAGTCGCCATTTTGTATTTTACTTTCACTCGGTTCTCGGTCCCGAGTACCTACAAGTCAGGTTTTTTTATGCGCGCATGATTTGGGCACTTAATACTCTGTGCCAAATTGCAACTCCTGACATGTACTCCTTCATACCTCTAAGCTGGTAACACAGCAAGCAGTACGATTTTATAAACAAGACATAGTCTTGTTGACAATTATTTTATTTTAAGGTAATATTGTTATTTTACGACAACTTTTGTTAGACATTTAATAAAACAAATTTCAATATTTTAAATTTATAAACAAACTGTTCAAACCTTTCTAGAAAAACTAAAATTTATTGTTGTGTATTAAATATTTTTTATTAATAAAAATTAATAAACAGTTTTTCACATTATTTAGTTTTGCTTTATTTATTGTTTTATATTATTGTTCTTTTAGACCGTGTAAACAGGAACATTTTATACTACCATCATATCACAACATCAATTTTGTATACAACAATGAAAATTATTATAAAAATAACTAAACGGATACATAAACTGTTTTTACTTAATTAGTATTTAAATATCAAACAAACATTCCTCTATCGGGCTTTAAGGTAGATAGGTACGCGGTTTCTTATTAAATTTAATAATTATAAATAATTTTAAGAGTATTCTAGAAGAAAGGATCATCCAGAGTGAGACCGAAGCCGCAACTCCCGCTTATCGTGAAGACACATTGCCTGTTTCATATTTGAAGTAATTATCGGGTTGGCTGAATTTATTATACACATTAATATTTGTTTTGAATAATAACTGATTTTTAACATGTATATTTTCATAAGAATTCAAATTAGCTCAGTTAGAACTTTGAAACTTTACATACATAAATTTAGATTTAAAATGGTTTGATAATTTGCATGTATAAACTTCCAAGTCCATTAACAAATACGATATAAAACGATGAATTAATAAAAACGTCCCAGATAAAATAGGAAATTCTATTCATAACTCGTCTGTAAACATTTAGTTTCTTAGTGATGTATAAAAATATATTCTTCAATGTTTATTTAAATTTAAAAGAAATTTTAAAATTATTAATTTCTTCACTTTTTTGTGAGTTAATTGATTTGGCAAATGAGCGGCTCATATATAAACGAAATGACTGGACTATTATAAGTAGCTGGTGAAAAATACTTATATTATTCTCTTGCCTGCTTACTTTTCTGCATCTTTTCTTTCGAAAGTCTTTGTTCTTTGCCTCCCGAGCCTCTTCCTAATCAGGCGAAAATCCAATTTATTAATTAAACTAATGTTAACGAAAAGTATTACTGTGTTAACAAATTTATACTTCAATCAAAACATCAACTCAAAGGAAACTTCTGGAATGTCATTTTTGTTATATAAAAATTCATTGTCGTTAGTTTTAAAAGGTCTCCCTAAAGCTTCCTCTGTATCAGTGGCGTGCCGTGACATTTGATGATAGGGAAGCTGTGTTTCTATAAGAAGCCGACTTCCAGGGTCAATCAGTTAATTCTTTCTTTAAATGTATTTTTAATAGATTATTTATCTGACGTAGGCCTACTTAATAAATAAACAAGTTCATTATAATTACCTCTGTTATTAGATCCAATATATTCCATATGCCCTCTAAATGCCAATTCTTGCTTTGATAAAAACATATAACATCTATTTATTTAGATATAATATATCTATTATCCGTAAGTATTGTGGGATCCCAGACGAGGTTCGAACTCGAGTAAACCGTGAAATTCTTGCGTGACACAAAATGTAAACAACGAGACTCGGAACGGTTCGAGTATGTGTCAAACTATCTGTCAAGGTCTTAGTGGAAGACAAACTCTAACACGAGCGCTCATAAACAGGTTGATCTTTGACTCGCGTTTCTATAAAATATTGGCCGAAATAAACCTTTTCGAACAAAAAAAATAGAGGAATTTTTTATAGATGAAAGATGAAAATGATCGTTAAATTCTTAGACGTCAAGAAATGGTAAACAACGGCCTGAGTTATGTGTGCAGGTGTTAAACAGTAACCGAGCAGAGTCGACAAAGAGGTATCGGACACCTCGAATCGGACCTTTCCCGCGACCCTAAAAAGTTTCGTATTGCACCTGGAGACAAAGGAGAGACCAATCGGGAAGCGAGGAATGGGACGAGGGACCAATCCGAAATGCGAACAGTGGGAGAAAAACTATAAAAATCGGAACTTCAAGGTCGAAAGGGAGTCTCTTCTGGATTAAGCCTACCGTTGTGATTTAGATTGTGTTGTGCAACCGCCGATCACCCAGGACGCCGCAGCTTAACAACGAACATCTGTATAGTCCAGTGATCCTTCTCGTCCTCCCGGGCTGCGACCCATCACACGAACTTTCGCCGTTCACAGGAGCACCGAGATATTGGAATTGTCCAATATCGAAATAAGCATGAATCGATGTAAGCATACAAATAAACGGGTTTTATCTTGTAAAACACTTGTACTTTTGTCTTTTATCTTGTAAAACATCTTGTTACACTTGCCTCCTTCGCCACCGCCCACATACGCGGTTTCCCTTAAGCTCATTCTGACGCCAGATAGACTTTATTCCCCCCTTAACGTCGGCGACCTTACACTATCTCGTTATAATTTTCAATATTTATTTTATATTATTTACTAATGTTAAATTCTATTCCGCTTCGATTTCCAAATTGCTTCAAATACGAAAGAATAGACGATTTTTCGTGTTCTTTTGCCAGCTAAATTGTCAAAGCCATTCTTATTCCACACACTAATTTCATTTGAAAACAGTAGACAAGCCAACAAAACAATTTTTGCATTTTTATGCATTTACAGAGCCATTTTATCGTGAAAATGTCGAACAAATTTTTT